CCCCGCCTCTCCCCACCCCTGCCTGCCTGGGGCCAGGGAGGGCCTTGGCGGGGCTTCCTCGCACTCCCGCCGGCCTTGCAAGTCCACTGCCGGGCCCCCAACACTTCCAGTGATGTCAGGGGGTGTGGCATATGCTAATGATTTTTGCTAATGAGTTCCCCTAGCTCTTTTTCTACGAAACGACCCCTGATTCTGAGTATAAACCTTCGTGTGCATGCACACTGTTTATACCCAGAATTAAACTTTGTTGGTCTTAAAGGTGCCCCAGGACTCAAACTTCGTTCTGCTGCCTTCAGGCCAACACAGCTACCCACCTGAATCTAAATAAATGAATGAAATTTGACCAAACTCAAATCCCCCCCCGATATTAATTTCAGCTGCGCTCCTGAAGACTTTATTTTTCCCTTGCTTTGACACAAGGCCGTTCTGTACAAAGCATCCACTTGTGGTCTTGTATGAAATGAAATCAATAGACTTCAAAACTAATCCCTCTGTGGCCTATTACTGATGTATCATCCTGTATCACGTCCATTCATCTGAGACAGACCCCCACTAACGTTTTGCTTCCCCAAATCACCTTGCAGCTCTCAGTCAAGGACTCACCAAGCTTACCGGCTCAAACACATGATCGTGACATCACTGGAGTGGAAGTGCTGTCCCGGATACAGCGGACAGGCCTGCCAGCCCAAAGGTATGTGAAACCTCGGGAAGCATTAACCCTTATTGATGAACGACCTGACGGGGCTGGTAGGAAAACATTCATCTCAGGCAGGTCCGTGGAGATGAAGCCAGGAAAAACAAATAATTAGTCACGTGACCCCAGGGAAGTAGAGATGAATGCCCTGCAATTAGGATGTTGGGCCCACTGTTGACGTTAAGGATGCTTCTCGAATTCTCATTCAAAATCCCCACCAGATTTTTGAATTGCCTGGTCTTGTTTCCAGAGTACAAGTGATGTGCTTTTAATTCCCCCACTTTCCCCATTTTGTATATATTTCAGTTCTGTTGTGTCTTACTTCTCCCCTCTGTCTGATATTGAGGCGCACACACGATAAAATGATACAAAAAAGGAAAGGCAGCCTTGCTGTGATCATATGACTGATAGTATCAAAGAGTATTTATCGGCAGTGCTTCAGCGATCGGCACGTGCATGTTTCGGGTGCACTGAGAAAACAGCACAAGATGCTGGTATCAAGATTCCTTTTGTGTGCTCTTTTACCACTGCTCAAGGATGCATGTGCCTGAGACTCCACGCATAAAATATTTTTGAGAGGATCATACCTACCGGTTGGATCAAAAATTGCTCTTTGTTTGGGCTGTTTTGGTAATTTAGTAATGCAGAAGGGAAGGAGACAAACATGGCAATTAGCCAAAGAAACCAAAAGCGGCAGCACAAGCATGCACCGATTCTGGAATTCATTCAGAAACCCTCCCTTTTAAACTGGAGTTGCCCTCAAAGCAGAGTGAACCCACAATACAATAAAGAGACAGAATGAGAGGGGGATCTATTCATCCCTACCTGGATGAGTGCTCCCCTCTTGGTGAATTGCAACAATCCAAGTAAATGAAACCCACTCCAAACTGGGATGGGGAAGACGTCTTTGCTTGCAACCTGTTTTGGAAAGTCTACGGAATGCATAACTTTGTTACAACCAGAGCCAAGCGTTAGGAAGATGCATTCATATGTGTTTGCTTCATTTAGTTCCTACGGTAGCAGCTTAATGGGTTGGGAGAACCAGGTGAACCCTTGAAACTGCCATATGCTGAATCAGACCACTGGCTCAGTCCCGGACTCCATCAACGGCAGGGTTGTCTCCTCAGGCTGGCAGCAGCTCACCAGGACCTCAGGTGGAGGCCTTTTGCATCACCTCCAGCCTGGTTCTTTTACCTGGAGGTGCTGGGGATTGAACCTGGGACTTGCAGAGCTGGGAGTGGTATTGCTTCGACACTAAAACTGAATGATAAGAATTACAAGAAACTTGAAGGGCTGTTGAGAGCCACCATAGGCTACTGGGAAAAGGTGGTCCCTGAAAGGAGAGAGGGAGAGAAAGGTGAGAGGGAGGGAAGAAGGGAATTCACCAATTCCTAATGGAACAGAGGATGGAAAGCCACTCTCTAGCAATTCATAAATACTCACTTTAACTCTTCCTTCAACTGGAAAAATATAGCAAAGACCTCAGACACTGCTGGGCAAGTGCATGAGAGTCAATTGTGGGATTGGACCACCCCAGAGCAATGTGGGCCCAGGGAACTCTGTGGCCCTGTTCCTCCCCCCCTCTTGGTAGCCTTGGACACCACAATGCTGGAACAAACTGGTTCTCAGCAATGCTTCCCTTTTCATTCACCATTCTGTGAATAAAATGGCTCTCCACAAAGAGTACCTGTGAACATTCTGGTGTATGTCTCTGTGTGTTGAATCCTAACTACACCTAGGGTTGCCACGTCCCCCTTAGCCACGTCCCCCTTAGCAATCCTACTCTTCAGCTTAGCTAGAGCACGGGGTAATCTGACCCTTCTGGTGCAAGCCAACTCAGGAGCCAGCCGGAACTCCGTTCCTGTGCGTTCCTGCCCAAAAATAGCCCTGGGCCCAGGGAACTCTGTGCCCCTGTTCTTGATAGCCTTGGACACCACAATGCTGGAACAAACCGGTTCTCAGCAATGCTTCCCTTTTCATTCACCATTCTGTGAATAAAATGGCTCTCCACAAAGAGTACCTGTGAACATTCTGGTGTATGTCTCTGTGTGTTGAATCCTAACTACACCTAGGGTTGCCACGTCCCCCTTAGCCACGTCCCCCTTAGCAATCCTACTCTTCAGCTTAGCTAGAGCACGGGGTAATCTGACCCTTCTGGTGCAAACCTGCCCAGTTCAAGGAATCGTTTAGTAAAGTAATTACTCTGGGGATATTAAATCATGGCCTCCTGAACGCTTCTTTGCTCACAGTTTAGAGGGAGCATTGATCCCCAGGTTCCTCCTGGAGGCTGGCGTTCCTAACTACTCCTGATATCTCAGCCTCTAGCAAGGGACCCAATTTTTTTTGGAATCCTACTCTTCATCTTAGCTAGAGCACGGGGTAATCTGACCCTTCTGGTGCAAACCTGCCCAGTTCAAGGAATCGTTTAGTAAAGTAATTACTCTGGGGATATTAAATCATGGCCTCCTGAACGCTTCTTCTTTAAAAATTAATTCACCTATAACAGATTGACCCTTCTGACTTTTTTGAGGTGCATCTTCCCTTGAATATATTCCAGCCAGAGGGCATACATTTCAGCACGCAGCCCGGCTCCTATTGAAGTCAAAGGCAATTTATGACCCCGCTTTCATTTGGATTCTGACTGAGGCAGGTGGCATAATGCCACCCAGGCTTCTCCTACCAGCCTGGTGTAAAACACTGCCTGGTTGAGACATGGAGACTTGTATTTTACGACGGCCCCGATGATCAAACACAAGGAGAACGCACTGTAGTTTAACGTCACATAGCGCTATGAGGACTTGCTCGTGGCCTTATACGAGCGCCCCTTGAAAAATAAGATATGGCATCTACATACATATTTTAAACGGATGAATATTACAAGAAATGCCATTAGCTGTGGTAGGGAACTCAATCACCAGCAGTGAGGAAGAGGCTGTGATTAAAAATTTATGTGCAGAAATGTAGAAAAGTCACTGCTGTTCATATCCAAGGGGAGGAAAAGCTTAATACTGGCAGAGCTGGAATCCCTGTGGAAACGAGCCGCTTTTATACATGAGTGAGAGATGGTGGATATTTTGGATTCTCTTGAACAGAGCTCTGCTCACGTGCTACCCTTTTATGTCTCTGAACGTAGCCGGTGTAGATCTAACAGGTTCTAGGATTTGTGTTTGAGGGTTAGCTATAAAAACACCAAAAGAAGCCAAAGTGAAACACATAGGAAAGAGGCAGGCAACTACTACAACATGAATAGGGTTGCCAGCTCCAGGTTGAGAGATACCTGGAGATTTTGGGGGCGAAGCCTGAGTTAGGGAAGGGGCGGGACTTCATTGGAGTCTAGTGCCATAGAGTCCACCTTCCGAAGTGGCCATTTTCTCCAGGTGAACTGGTCTTTGTCGCCTGGAGATCAGTTGTAATCCCAGGAGATCTCCAGCCACCACCTGGAAATTGGCAACCCCCAAAAAGAACACACAAGCATCTGTGAAGGGATGGGGAAATATTGGCTGACTGGTCAATTCGACTTTGGGCAACAGACTAGAAACTTCTTTCTTGAAAAGCTGAGAGTCCGAGGGCACAGTTCATCGGAGAGTTTATGTATTTATTTAAAGCATTTATATCCCACCTTGTTGAGGCAGACTCAAGGCAGCCAACGAACATCACAGTCCTATGAACAAGATTAAAAATGCATGGAGCTATAAAAGCAGAGAATTTAAAATGCGCAGAATTAAAAATCACAGCCAAATCTGCCAAAGTCATCTACCCTTCGCCAAAATTCTCTGTGGAATAAAACTTTTACCCGCCTCCCTTAATATAGCGATTGAAGGCATCCTCTGCACCCACTCTAGTAAGTAATCCCGAAGGACTGTTGCTGTGTGGACAGTCCTAAGAGAGGCTGCCATAAGGAGTCTGTCTGAAGAATGTAACTGGTGAATGGGAACATACCAGGAGATATGGTGCAATAAGTATGAGGGCCATCGGCCATGAAGGGCTTTAAAGGCAATGAATAGCATCTAGGCTTACATGTTTTGGCGAACAACCTCCCACCTTCAAGCCCCAGGCTCTCACAGGTACTTAGCAGAGCATCAGGAGCAGAGGGGAGGGCACTGTCACATGTGTCTGAGTTCGTACCCCAACGTGATGTCATGGTGTCACACAACATTCTAGGAATTTCCCAAATCTCTATGGTAAAAAAACAGAGATCTGGGGAATTCCTTGAGTGCCATGCATCACTATGACGTTGCTTTGAGGTATGGACCTGGAAGTTATCTCATGGCTTTGGGTGATGCCAATTTATGTACCCCCCAGTGCTTCTGGGGGGTGACCAGACAGGAGCAGGCTACCCTACCAGTACTTTAAAGTGGGCCTGGAAGCAAATAGATAAACAGTGCCTTTGATGCAGGACTGCAATTACATAGGACTGCCACGCTGGAATGGGAAACTTCTGGAGATTTGGGAGATGTACCAGAGGAGGGTGAAGTTTGGGAAGCAGAGACAACTTACCAGGGTGTGATAGCATGCTAGGACTTCTGTTTCTCCTAGACTCTATGGTATACCATAGACCAGAGGTGTCAAATTCATTTGTTATGAGGGCTGGATCTGACATAAAAGATATTTTTTCGGTCCGGGCCAAGTCTGCCATAAAATGAAATGCCAGGTACTGGAGATATAAACTTTATAAATGACACAGGCAAACTTGATTAACGATATTATTTTTCACTCAAAATATAAACAAAAGTAATTGATTCCCAGGAGTTAAAGCAATCGATTTACTGGGGAATCCACAAAAGTCCCAATAAATGTATTTAATCTTATGCAAGACTAGTTTTTTTCAAAAGGATACCATACCCGCCCCCTAGCCATTTCCTTTCTTTCCTTGACAGCTTTGACCACACACACCTCATTGTGTATGCCTGTGCGCCTGCTCCCCCCCAAGCAGCCTCCTGCCTTCCCTCTCTCACACCAGTTGCTTGCAGACTGGATAAGAGCCCTGGAAGGGCTGG